TGAAAAATTACCTTGACGTTTCGATAGCTATTTTCTGCTATCGTTATCAAAAGAACCTAAATGAACCTAAAAAAGAGTATGTTAATAAATTGTGCAACACTAGTAGGATAATATAATATATCGAAATTCGTTCTGATAATTCGTTTGTGCAAATTGTCAGTTGATACCCTCTAGGTGATAGTTCTTGATTACTTTTTGATAAATAATTCGTTCTTATTGCGAGATAGGAGCACTATTTATCAATCTGTAATAAAAGACGTGAGGAAATTCTGTCTTTTTTAAAGACAAAAATTTTTGAAGCGAAATACCCAAAAAGAAGTTTGTAAAAAATGAATCGGCCTCAACAATATAGAACTTATCTACCATTCTGTTGCAGGTGCGCGCCAAAGCTCAACACCACAAGTTCCTGATCGGCAAAAACGGCACCAACGTGAAGAAAATTCGCGACTCCACTGGTGCAAAGATTTGCTTCCCTTCGAACTTGGAAGACGATCCGGAAACCATCACCATCATCGGCAAAAAGGAAGCGGTAGCTGATGCCAAGAAGCAACTTGAGGCCATGATCAAGGGCATCGTAAGCAATTCGTGGGCGTTTTTAGCATTGGTTGATGTGGAATTCACGGGTTTTCAGGACAACATCGTGGAAGACGAGATTAAAGTGGAACCCCGACATCACAAGCACTTTGTGGCTCGAAGGGGCGAAGTTCTTTACCGGATCAGCGATGAGTGTGGTGGCGTTCTGATCTCATTCCCCCGATCAGGCGTCGACAGTGACCGAGTGGTGCTGAAAGGTGCCAAAGAGTGCATTGAAGCCGCCAAGCAAAAGATCAACGAAACGATCACCAACCTGGAATCGATGGTCACCATCGAATGCATCATTCCGCAGAAGCACCACAGAACGGTGATGGGCGCGAAGGGATACAGGGTCCAAGGAATTACTTCGCAGTTTGATGTGCAAATCAAGTTTCCCGATAGGGACAACACTGAAGAATACCAATCTGAGTTGACCAATGGAAATGTCGACGCCGAACCCATCAGGCAGTGCGACGTGATTAAAATCACAGGCAAGGAAGAGAACTGTATTAACGCTCGACAAGCGCTGTTTGATCTGATCCCCGTTACCATTGAAGTCGATGTGCCGTTTGAGATGCATCGGCCAATCATTGGAGCCAAAGTAAGTTCCTTGGTGATTTTTTCTTTGATTTTTTTTTGATACCAATCTGCGGTTTCAGGGCCAAGGTGTTCGCGATCTAATGATCCGATTCGATGTCCATATTGTGTTGTCCTCTGCTGAAGTGCCGGAGGACATTATCAAAATCTCTGGAACGCCTGCGAATGTTCACGACGCTAAAGAAGCTCTGCTCGAGCGCGTAAAGGAACTGGAGGAGATGAAGAAGGACAGAGAGCTCAGATCGTACACGTTGCAGATCGAGGTAAATCCGGATTATCATCCTAAGATCATCGGCAAGCGTGGCGCGGTGATAACCAAGATCAGGAAGGATCACGATGTGCAGATCATATTCCCCAAAAAAGGCAAGTTGTTTGGCTGATGACGATTCCCGTGGATTATTAATGGCGATTTTTGCTTTAGGGGACGAAAACGAGCACATAATTACCATCACGGGGTACGAAGAAAACACCCATCAGGCCAAGGAGGACATTCTGAAGATCGTGAGAGAACTGGACGAGCTCGTCAAGGAGGAGCTTGAAATCGACTCACGCGTTCACTCCCGATTGATCGGAGGCCGTGGCCGCAACATCCGGAAAATCATGGACGACTTCAAGGTTGATATCAAGTTCCCGAGGAGCGACGATAGCAACCCGAATCTGGTTATCATCTCTGGCTATGAAGACAACGTCTCTGATGCCCGTGAACATTTGCTCAACCTCGCCGAGGAATATGTGAGTTGACTGAATTTTTCGCAGTCAGGCCACGGTACTGATGAGGGAAATCTTTTTCAGCTGCAAGATGTAGAAGAAATGGAGACTCGCGAGAAACTGCACACACTCAACCTCAACATCCATTTTGATAATCCAGCTCCGCCTCAAAATCCTCAGCGCAACAGCATGTATAAACCGAACGGATTCGTGGTGCAAGGCGGCCCTTGGGAGCAAAGCGCCCCGAACACGGCAAGCGTTACAGATTTTCCGGCATTTGGGCGGAGCACCGAGGAACCGCAAGCCGCCCCCGTAGCTGGCGCATGGGGCAACAGGCGTTAACTCGGTCGCCCTCTTCGGTTTTCACCTTGCGCCTTCATTACCTTAATCGTATTACTTCATATTCATTTGAATTATATCTGAAATACGTGCGAAGGTGAAAACTTGCCCAGTTAATGCCAAAATTAAGGTACTAACCCTTGTTTAAGTAAGTCATTAGCGGACTCAACCTCTTCCCTCACTGTTTGCTGCATTAAATAGGCCTGGCGATGACACTGGACCTCGATATATGGAATACTGAATATTACTTACGCATCCTCTTTTATACGTGCAAGTCTTCCCAAGCTCGGGCGGACATTTGGCCTACAATCGGCACTAAACCCGTAGAGAAGTTATGATACTCGTACAGAGAAGTTGAATGTAAATGCGTTCCCTTTGTCCATGAAAGTTCATCATGTCGGTTAATTAGTTGTTTATACTGAGTTTCTTTTAGTTCTGTGTCATAACGTCTCTGCCCTCAAACTAGGCGGTGCATCGTGCCTTCCTATTAAAAATTAATCCCTTTTAGTCAGTGGCACCATGTTTTCCTTTCGTGTTTAAATTCGTGTGTTAGAAGGAAAGCGACTGATCGTGGCTACTCAACCGGGTGGTCTTTAATTTCGTTATTGTTGTAAATTATTTTGCCTGTTATCTGTATACATTGAGAAGGTATTTTATTAATTCTAGATTTGATTATATACAGTAAAGCCTTGCGGTCATCTTGTTAGCCCAAGACTAACCTGAGGGAGAGAATAAAATAAAATGCTCATAAAAATGGTACAAAGGTCTAATTACTTCTACCTCCCAGCCACCAAAAAAAAACGGTTTACGACCAACATTCGGTTTGGTATCGGCTGGCTTTTTCCATTCGTTCCATCAGCTGAGCCGCTTCCAACTCTGAAAGTTGCCCATGTTGAACGCAAACGTCCATAAAGGCTTGCCTGACTTGCTGCGGCATGTTTTTGGAATTGCCAGCTACGAAAATGGAAGCTTTTCGCTCGAGCGCCTGCCAAACAGCGTGGCCGTGTTCTCGGATTTTGTCCTGTACATATCTGAAACGTTTCGTTAACTTTAGGTGCGTCACTCACTGGAGTTAAAATATATTCCAAATCAAATCTTTTCATGGGTTTCACTCATTTATTGTCCCTATTTATTAATCAAAATACGTTTCGGTGAATTTTTCCACCATTCATAAGGAAAACATTCCATTACGATCGATTGTCTAACCCAGATAGCACACAAATATTACAGTAATATTTTTTTGCAATATTTAATATTTAATATAGGTTGACGCGACAGATTCTTATATATTATAAAAATATTTCTTGTAAATATTTATTTGACATTTAAATCAAATATTTAT